TTACTTTGCTTAGTGACAGGACTAACTTAAGCAACTGCATGTATTAGCTATCTCCAAAACTCACTATGTCTGGGCAAATGCAAAGGAAAAGAAAATGTGCTTAGATTATAAGAGGAGATTTTAGCAGGGGCCACTGTGTAATCTTGCAAGACAATCTGCATCTTCTGAAAATGACTCTCTTTAATAACATAGCTATTAAATGGGTAGGGGTCCTTCCTGTTCACCTCCCCTCTCCTCCAAACAAGGTGTTGAAAGAGGATTGTTCATGCTCTGGTTCAATGTTTCTCAACCGTGGCAACTTCAAGATGTGTGGAGTTCAACTCCCAGAATTCTCTAGCCAGCCATGCTGGCTGGGGAATTCTGGGTATTGAAGTCCGCACGTCTTAAAGTTGCCAAGGCTGAGAAACCCTGCTCTGATTAATGCATAAGGAAAGGAAATCCAGAGATGGTAAACATCCTTCCACCTTAATCAATGGCTTCTTGGGAAATCATGTGATGGTGGCTGTCTTGGGTTATGTGACAAAAGGTTGAACAGATCAAGATCCCTTTGTATGTGTGTGCCATCATGACAACCCAACTCCATTAAGATGAAACCATCTAGTATCCAGGAAAGGGATTGTCAGAATGATGTGCAAGAATGTAATACAGGTAGTCCTCGTTTAGCTACCACAATTGGGACCTGCAACTCATTAAGCAAAGCAGTCACTAAGTGAAATCATGACTGTGCTAATGATCTTACTTCCGCTTTCCTTTGCTTTACAGACTTGCAAAGGTTGTAAATGTGAGGATTGGTTGCAAAGTTACTTTTTCATCACTGTCGTAACTGCGAACATTCGCTGTACGAGGCAGTCATTCAACGAGGACTACCTATACATTCTTACCGGGTTGTAGGGAGACCTCTAAACTGTGCTTCAGGTAGAGACCAAGAGGCTTTCATGCCTTTATGTGCTGTATGTGTTTATGGAGAAAGGAAAGAGACCCACCCAATAATGCTGCCTCTGAATTCTTTTTCCCATTCATTTCTTTGTATGTAAATAAATAGATTGGAGATGGATAGTTAAAAACTCTGGTATTTTCTTCCTGTTCTCAGGAGGAATCTAGTAGGCAACAGGCAGCAAAATCATCCCCTAGCAAGTTATCAAAAACAAACAGCTGCTATGGTTTTGTTTCCTTAGGAAAGTTGGCAAACTGGGCAGATTTTAGGCCAGCAGTTGACAGTTTCAGGTAAGGCAGAAGAAAGAGTGACAAACTAGCGGATTACTTCTGCAGCTACCCTCCCTGGTACACCACCCGAAGCTTCACTTACGTACCTGACATAGCTGGGAAATTTCCCTATTGAACCCAAATCCATCTTGAGCTCACCCACTATGGCAAGGCTGAAAGTGCAAGGAATGAGTGCTGTGATGCTTGTTGCCCCAACACATCTTCTGAACTGAGAATTTGTGTATCTAGTTGAGCTTTCCGGGGGTAAGGAACACAAATGGTATGGAAGCAAATTATGGTGGCAAGCTTCCGTCTTTGATTTACTATACTGGTTGGGTGATTCTCTGGAATAACCCTTTGACCTGGTTAACACATTGCGCTAAGCCATCATTTGTTTTGGTTTTTGTTTGGTTTAATGTGTGGTTTGAATCTCACCGCACTCAACTCTGAAATAATGGCTTTCACGGCACATTGTAGATCAAGAACATTTAAATGCCACCACCCCAGTCTGCTCTTCTTCCCTGACCCTTCCTCTAAGATGCAATTTGCTAAAAATGCTGAAAAATGTCCACAGATCTCCCAATGTAATATATATCCTGGCTCTTTTACTCCCCAAAATAACATGCCTCTGACTAAAAGCTTCCTTCCCACACAGTCTCTTTTTCTTAACCTAGCTATCGTATATCTGTTTATCATTGCCAGGCCTTTTTTTTTAATCACTTTCAAAGCCAGACAATGTCCGTGTCTGTGTGTGCAGTGCATGTATAAATTTCTCTACAGGTGAAGATCAAGCAAGAAAGGACAAGGAAAGACTTATCAGGCAAACTGTCAACAAATATAGCATATAAGTGTAGAAACAAAGAACTTTTTAAGAGAGCCGAGAAATCACAGGGACATTTACAACTGAGCTAGAAATATGTAAGAGCAATCACAGGAGTCATCTGGTAGGCGAGCTCCAGGAAGAAAGCGTATACTGAAACCCTTTATCATCAGGATTATACAATGACAGAAAGATCTGTAGAAAGATCATAGATTTCTATAAAGATCATATATTCATAACCCCACTCCACTAGAAAGTGAGGTACTGAAGGCAATAAGCCACCTGTCAAACAGGAAAGCACCAGAGGAAATATCAATGAAACTGTTTAAAGCTGCAGGAGAAGAGGCAATTAAAATGCTCAGAACTGTATGTCAATAAATATGAAATGAAACTGTGTGACCTCGTAATTAGAAAAGATCACTGTATATGGATACACTGAAGAAGAGATGCAAGACAATCTCCAAATTACTGAAGCATTACACTAATTCCTCACCCAGCAAAGTTTTAATTTTGTTTTCAAAGTAGAGAGCCATACATGGGGAGAGAAATTCCAAGATTCCAGAAAAGACAAAGGAACACAGGACTGGATGCTAACATAATGAATAATAATGATAATGAAGAAAACAGGAAAATACAAGGAAGAGGCGGATTTTAATTTCATTGACTTGTAGGCTAATGATGTGTCTGAACAACAGATGTGATTCTTCTGAGGAATCTTTAGGAAGGAGGAGGAGAAGGATTTGCTATAAGAACAGATTCTGGAGAAACCGAATGGTTCAGAATAGAATAAGGTATATATTCCCATAATATACAGCAAATGGAAGAAAGAGATGACAGCTGAAGTTAAAATCTGAAGGTGAAAACATTGATGAATGACATCAATTTGTTACGTGGAAGTAAAGAAGATGTAGGTGAGCTCTTTATGAATGTAAAAATGGAAAATAAAATTCTAAGTTATGGTTAAATATTAATGTCAACCTGACATTTATGAGCAAAGAAGTGAAGTTGGTAGATAATTTTGTTTTCTTGGGCTCAAGAATAGATGAAGGTGGACAGTGTGCTGGAGTAGAAAAGTAGAGATTAGGTTTAGGGATATATGCAGTAATAAGATTAGACTAAACCATGAAGGAGAGTCATGGGTGCTCTATCACTGGATGCTTTCAAGTAAAGGTGCTTGAAAGGATGCTTTCAAAAAGGCCATTTGTCTGGGGGTTTCCTTCCCTGGGCAGGAAGTTGGACTAGAAGGGCTGTTCCAGCCCTATGATTCTATGACAATTCATGAAAACAAAAATCAAAATAGTGAAAGCAACAGTCATGCTAATGGTTATGTATAGCTATGAGAGCTGGACATTGACAAAGAACAAGAGAACCAAGATAGATGCCTTCAGATTGTGAAGAACAGCGTGACTGCACAGAGAACCCAGCCAATCAATCCTGGATTAAATGAAGGCTGACTGTTTGCTTGAGGTGATGATCAGCGAGCAGAATACCTGAGGCAAGTGATGGGGCTGATGATGGAGTAGAGAAAAGGATTATGCCTGATAAAGATTGGGGGAAGATGATGAGGTAGATGGATGGGATCCAAGAAAAATAAATGTGCTAATAAGGAAGATTGGCTTTCTGGGACTCTACAAGGGCTTCTGAATTCAGACACTCATATATCATACTGACGTTTTCTTAGTCTAAGCAATTGTTTTTATCAATTCAGTGGCCCCTAGAAGCATTGGGACATTAACTCCCATAATTCTCCAGACAGCAGGACAACTGACTATAGTCCACAAGGATGGGAATCCACCTGGATGCAGAAGGCTGTTGTAAGACAATTCTATATTCCAAGAGGGAATGTGCTTGTAGAAACCAGAGTCCGAAAAAGGTGCTAGCAGGGACAAAGTTACTCATCATTTCATTAGCAAAAGAGAATAAACACTTCAGCAGTTCTCCACAGCCAGTTCTTAGCCTATCATTTCAAAAAGATGCCAAGCCTGAAGTCATGAGCCTTGGATTATATGCAGTCCTGATGTACGTGGAATGGAAGGGAGGAGGGGAGAGAGAGAGGAGATAGATGCAATGGACCAGTTTTGTTCTGCGAATAAATGAGGAGAATGAATATGTCTAAGCAAGAAAAAAAGCATTACTGCAAAGATAGGAGTGTAACAACGCCCTTCCCCACTGGCCTTGCTAGCTGGAACTGCTGAAAAGGGTAATTTACATGAAGGAGAACAGCCCCACGTTTACTGATGGTTGCTAAAACCCCATCTTCAAACTGCCATCATCATTATTTTGCTGGTGCCATACCTTATGATTCCATACATGATGCACGTGTTAGGCTTCCGTGTAAAACAACATCGGGAATTGTGACACCAGTGTTCGCTGCAACGCCCCCAAATTGCATGTGGCCCTCAAAAGGCCTCCGTGCAGTCCCTCCCCCCATACACATTTCCCTTCAGCTGCCAAATTCTCCCATGGGTGGCAGCAACATCTTCATAAATCGCCAGGCGGCACAGTAGTCATGGGGAAGATGCCACTCCGGAGGAGCAGCTGTTTGGCTGGCTAAGGGGAACCCCTGGTGATGGAGGTGGATGGTGGGTGGGAAGAGAAGTGCAAAGTCTTTCTGATTACATGTGTGTGTGTGCATGCGAGAAGGAAAGAATGTGTGCGGAAGGCTGGGTTTGTTTTTCTGGGGTGAGCAGGACAGTGATCTCGCCTGTCACCTGCCAGTGACCTCACCTGCCCCATGCAACCCAATCTCCAGGCATATCCCCTGGAACACAGGTACAAACTCCTTGCAGCAGCAGCAGAAATGTCTGTACGAAAGAGTAGCGATGGGATGTGGAGTGCAAGAAGAGCAGCAGAGGACACTTAACAAGTCTAAAAGGTTGACTACTCCAAATACAGATGGGGAGCATTTTTAGAGGAATTGCTGAAGATTAGGAAGGGGAAGAAGAGCAAAGAGGAAGATAATCCAAAGCGCTCTTACCACCAGGCAGCTCTGCAGGCCCACAGGTGCCTCTCTCATCTCCCACGTCGTAGACCCACAGTTTCTTGTAGCAGAATTTCCACAAGCCATAGTGGGCGGCCTCGCAGATGGCGGAGTGGTTCTGCTTGTAGGTGTTGAGCTCCACCCAGAATTCCGTGCCCACCGCCAGCACTGTCAGGGTCATTCCCACGATGGCCACAAAGAAAGCCAGCTTGATCTTGCCTTCCTGCTCGTCCGTCAGGACCTTCTGCCGTTGACCCCCTCCCCGCCTGCGCATGGCTATGCGCTGCTCCCGGTCCTGAAGGAAAAAGTTGGGCCACATCATAGCCCCTTTTCCCGTCCCCTGTTTTTTTAGGGAATCTATTTTGCCTGCCAAAAAGCTACTCTGTCTTCTGTCCGTAAATACCCAAGCTCTGAGCCTGGTTCCCCGCTTGGGTTGGTTGCCCGAGCTTTTCCTGAGTCTTATCTAGGTCAACGCGCTGCAACCAGTTGCTTGACCACTCTCCCCGCACCCCTGTCTTCTCAAGTCAGTGCCCCCAACTTGGCAGGAGGAACAGCAGCTACCTCACACACCCTGACAGCCTTGGCAAGTGTGCAGAGCACCTGTTACTGTTCTTCAGCCACCATCCAGGCAGTGAGGGTTATTTTAAGCTGCAAGATGCATAGACAGTGTTTGTGTGCAGGAGTAGGATACTTTTAAAGCAGCAGAAGCCAAAATGGTACCCTTTCAGGAATGGGAGAGGCCCTCTTGCTTCAGCTGCCCACTCCCACAGCACCCCCTGTTGGGCGTGGAAGAGCTCAAGGCACCCCCTCCCTCCCCACAACTCTGTGGAACTTGGTTTGCTTCCAATATACATGGAAGTCTTCTGGATGTGCTGGCAATTTATCGTAGGTAAATGTATCAAATCCTTTCGCTCTCCTCTTCATGCATATGTCTATTTACTGAGGCAATGGATTATACTGGTCTGATTTATTATTTTGAAGGCCTACAAGAAACTAGATGTCCTGGAGAAAGCACTGATTTATTTTCAAAGTTGGGTGCTTCCATGTTCTGATTTGGTACTCAGTCGTGAATGTTGCCTTTACCATGCCTTTGTTCTAGAGGAACCATGGTTTCTCTTGCTTCTGCTTCCTCCTATAACTATATGGGGATAATTATAGAGTTATAATAGTGATCACAGCAAAGTCTGGGAAAATGTTTCTCCAGACTTGATACGTGCTTGCGCATGACCCTTCATCTCCCAACTCCACCACTCTCAACTCTCAAACATCTGTGCCCCCAAATGTCTCTGCTGTTTCTCCCGTGCGTTCTTCTCACACCTAGAGGGGTTGTCTTGAAGCAACCAGAGCAGCAGCATTTCTTCCACTGCCTCCAAAGACCACCTTCTTTCTACTTCTTTTGTGGGCAGCTCTTTCATATGGGGAGGGGGACAAGAATGTTGATGAGCAATCCAGTTCTGCAAAGGAGGCCATTATATGGACAAAGTGATTTGGGGGATTTGGGGATTTTTTCCCCCTGGAATTTGGAGGCATTGGGGGGAGGGGGATCTCTGTTTTTAAAACCACATTAAGCTTGTTTCAGAGCTTACATTACAATGTGATGTGTTTCCTACTTCAGAATTCCACACATCTTAAAGTTCCCAAGGTTGAGAAACACTGTTCTAGCCAGTACCGAGGGCCCAATACAACATTATGTGAAATATGGAACAGCAAATACAAATACGCAGGTTCTTATATATTTTGTTTACTCAGAAGTAAATAAATTGCAATGGATGTAAAGTAGAGGTTCAATCCTATCTTCCTTAGCTAAGTCCCATCCTATGTGGCAGTTACAGATACAAACAGTTTTGGTGAACGCACACTGTTGGGCTGCTCTCCCATTATTCTGCGCATGTGATAGAGTTAAACAAAGCAAGAAAATAAATGATTTCCACCCCTCAGTCATCTAGGAAAAGCAGTAAAAGGAAACATTCACAATCTGATCCTCTTCAAAAAGCAGATATAGTCACTTTCATGGCCCCTTCATTTGGCAGGACCTATAGAAAACTGCCCAGTTTGATTTTTTCTGCTGTTGTTATAAATAATGTGCATCTTCTTGTGGCAGCATCCTAGCAATAAAATTGTTAATACTTTAAAAATGTGGTGTATTCAGCAGCACGTGGAAGGCACACATGCCCTAAAGTCTAGACATAAATTCATGGGAAGTGGGGGCAAACCAAGATTTTTGATGGAAAATAGCTTCAGGAGGATGGCTTGTAGCATGACCTGCATATTCAAAAAGGTGGTTCCTCACACCACTATCTAAATAGAGCCACCCCTGATCTGTTGCTGTGTGGTCACTTATTAATGTAACATGTCACTTTACCCTGACTTGCATGTGGTTTTCCCTATGACACTCTACAGAAGGGAAAGTTGAACTCTAACCAAGCGAAATAGAAAGACTACTGACACTTTTGAACGTTGGCGTTGAAGACTCTTGAGAATACCATGGATAGCCAAAAAACCAACAAATCCATCCAAAGTTTTCCCTCAATGAATACATGATCAGGCTCAAATCTCGATACTTTGGACACATTATATGAAGACCTAGCTCCCTGGAGAAGGGTCCAATGCTGGGAAAGATGGAAGAAAGAAAGAAGAGGACAACAAGCAGCAAGGTGGATGGATGTGATTACAGCAGAGATGGGTGTACCATTGGAAGGCCTGAAGGACCAGGTTGAGGATAGATCATCCTGGAGAAAATCTGTGTGGTCTCCAAGAGCTGACACTGACTTGATGGCACCTATTCATCATCCTCAACCTTTACACATTGTCATACACCTTGATAAATATTAAACAAAAAGAATTAAAAAATAAACATGAGGACACAAAGAGGTCCCAATCCTCTGTTTAGCTCTCTTAATGAATATGGTGGTACCTCCTGTGAATAAAGAAACTGAAAAATGTGCAAGGTGTAATCCTCAGTGAGGGATAGCTGTTTTTTCCCCTTCCTTCTTATAGTCCTTCTTACGACTGCTTTTATTTAATAAAAAGATCCTCTCCCCCCATCAAAATATGATGAGATTCTAAATCAGTAGAGGAATTTATATTTATAAAGTAAAAGGAGAAAATGTAACATCTTCACAAAATTGCTTGGCATGCCTATTAAGGCATATTCAGGAGGAGAATGAGAAGGGGCAGGTGGAGGAGAAGAGTGAAAAGCAGAAAGAAATGGCACAATATGGTTGTAACACCCAATCTCAGTCAATATCTTGCTGCCATGTTTTAGGCTTTCCCCCTAACCATGACACAATATGCTTTGGCAACGTCTTTTTTTTTGCTGTATTTGCATGGCATTGCCTTCATTTCATCCCCAGCCATGAATGAGATAGGCGTGTCATCCTTAGCTGTTAATGGTGTTAAAAGTAGCATTTCCCCCTTATTCTGACACCATCTCAGGGAAGCCTCAAGGGGGCGTAACTGTCATGGTATGTGGGAAAGACCTTGGGAGATGGGGGAAAGAGATGCTGCCTAGGGAATGGTCTGATAAGAGACAGCATAGCCCACAGCTGGATAGTGGGCGGGGCAAGAGGCTCAGAAGGAACCCTTCTTAGTTTCTCAGGCTGTAAAGGAGATGGGGAGAGACTTGCACTTTCAGACTTGCAAGATTCTGTTAATGTAGCCTTACAATAAAATAGAATTAGCTCATCTGGTCATGTTTCCTGTCTGGTCTACCTAGTAAGGCTGACAGTAACATCGGTTAGGCTTTCTCACCCATGATCTTGGAGGGAAGTTGAAGCTGCAGTGGCTGGGGACAGAGGCAATGCAGAAGAGAGATGGTGCACAAAGTTAGCAAATTCCATTGCCAGTATAATGTTCTGCCAGGTCAAGGGAGGGCTGGGGAGCAACGCAACAATGGGAAAAGCCTTGTGTGACATTTCTGCACTAAAACTAACCTGCCTAGAGTGAAAACATCTGGATGACCAAGAGATGCAGTCATTTATACAGGAAATTTCCAGGGGACAGCAGATCATGGAAGCTCCAATATGCTGTGTAGGCTAGGACAGTTAGACTTCTACATTTCTGGAACAGGAATGAGATATTTTTCAGTGGAGGCTCCCATTGTGAAATGCTTGTCACTAAATGTGAACCTATGGATGTTCTGTCACAGTGCCTGCTTTCCAAAATCTGAAAACACAAAGGGAACTTGTAGGCCAAGTGTGTGTGTGTGTGTGCGCGCGCGCATGTGTGTGTAAGTTCTTTTCATAAAACATACTGACAGCCCAACAAGGTCGACCAGACTAGGAAACCAATCTCATATAGGTCAGGACTATTATTCTAACAGCTGTAGTAACAGAATCTTGCAAGTTTGAATGTGCTTCCCCCTCCCTCACTTTATCTTTGTGTCAATTAGGGTAGGGCTTATCTGAGCATTGCACTGGTAGTGCTTTTCCTCTTGTCCTTCCTCTTGACTTCCTCTATACTTTCTACACAGACTAAACCAGTCAACCACTAATCTAATCAAATCTCTTTCCAGTGGTTTTGGCAGCACACTATCACAGTAATGGGGTCAAAATTTGCCACATTGGGAATACAAAGGCCCCCCTGCTTCCTCCAGGAAGTGTCTGGTATCCCTTATGGTCTTGTACAATGGCTTTTCCCTGTTGGCCAAACAGACAGCAATGGGCACCAATTACTGGAGTGAATCAGTGCTTGGGAGGTGTGTTCTGTAATGTCAAGACTTGAGGGTAAGTTCTCTCATGGCCATGATTTTTTTTGGGGGGGGGGTTGGCTTTTCTTTTTCTCCATCTCTTTTTCATGGAGGATTAATTAGATCCAACAAGGCAACTGACTGGATGTTAGTATTCCTCTGTTACTGCTAACTGAATGTATGTGGTTTAATCTTACAGAAGTTTGGTTCTGTTTAGGGTTACTCTTGTGATTATTTGACAGAATCATTTCACTCATTGTTTTGTGTTTCCAGGACACACTAACTTGTCCATTGACTTAGTTAAGTGTGTCATAAGAACAGGGCTGTGGGCTGGAGTTTTAGAACAGGCTAAAATGGAGCTAACTCATAATATGAATTATTCGTTCGGAAACAGTATGATATGTGAAAATGGCAACTGTGCTTTGTTAAGCCAGATGTAGGATTTAGCATGTTGCAGGAATGAGTGAATTTTAGGGTTTTTGCTAATGTGCCATTTTATTTATACCCCAAATAGGATTGCACATATGGGAGTTGTAGATGCCATATGTAGCAGGTGCCAGGGGGAAGACTGGCTTACAGGATTAGCAGTGGGTCACCGGCCCAACAAATTTATGTTTTTGCAATAGTTGCTGAAT